AAAGCTTCCCCCCCCCCCCCAGAGCTCACACCTCCAGCCAGAGCCCTCACACTCCTGCACCCCACCCCTCTGCCCCTCCCGCACTCAGAACCCCTTGGCCCCCACCTGGATTTTGTTATGGGCACCAACATGAAGGTGATCTGTCGCACAGCCCCTCCACAATGGTACAGGTAAGAAAATCCATTCCGCTCCGGGGTGGGAGGAGTCAGACCTGCCACCTCTCCTCGCCTCTTCTTTCTTCAGTCCCCTTGCTACCACCAGACGTGGCTCCAGTATGACCCTTCTGTCCAGACACACCCTGGGAGAGTCTTCGCTCTAGGAAGATTTCCTCCCTTCTTCCTTTGCTTTTGGTCTAAAAAATTCACGTGTGTCTGCCTCTAGGAAGAATGCAAAAAGGAGGACAGGGAAAGTGTCCCTGAGGAGCCCCGGGGAGGGGCTGTGTTAATTAGGGGGCCGGTCTGAGGACAGGCAGGGTGGTCTAGAACAGTGGTTCTTGGCCGGGGGGGGGTGGGGTGTACCCTAGAGATACGCAGGGATCTTCATCAACGCACCTGGATCTTTGCCTAGGTTTACAACAGGGCACATAAAAAGCGCTAGCAAAGTCAATACAAACTAACGTCCCGCAGACCATGACTGGCTTATGCTGCTCTAGACAATGTCTGTTTCAATGGATCGAGTCTGTAATTCTATGGCCACTTTTCAGTCACTGTGCGCGGTGACACACTCGTATTTTCACAGCTGGTTTCGTAAGCAGGTCATCTTCACAGGAGGTGAAGCTTGAGGGTCGGCAAAGACAAATCAGACCCTTAAAAGGGGCACCAGTAGCCTAGAAAGGTGGAGAGCCACCGGTCCAGTGGACGAAGCATCGGCCTGGGACTCAGAAGATCTGGGTGTTAATACCAGCCCTGCCACCAGCCTGCTGAGTGACCTTGGAGAAATCACTTCCCATGCCTCAGTTTCCCCTCCCACCTGTTGTCTATTTTGACAGCAAGCTCTTTACGGCAAGGAACGTTTCTTCCTGAGTGTAGAGCGGGGCCTTGATCTCAGCTGGAGCCTCCAAAACACCAGGGCTACGTGTAGACTGGCATGATTTTCCGGAAATGCTTTTAACGGAAAAGTTTTCCGTTAAAAGCATTTTCGGAAAAGCACATGTAGATTGGCAGGATGCTTTTCCGCAAAAGCACTTTTTGCAGAAAAGCGTCCGTGCTAATCTAGACGCGGTTTTCCACAAAAAAGCCCCGATCGCCATTTTCGCGACTGGGGCTTTTTTGCAGAAAACAGTACTGTGCTGTTTACACTGGCCCTCTTGCGCAAATGATTTGTGCAAGAGGGCTTTTGCCCAAATGGGAGCAGCACAGTATTTCCGCAAGAACACTGACGATCTTACATGAGATTGTCAGTGTTCTTGCGGAAATTCAAGCAGCCAGTGTAGACTGCTGATTTTGTGGAAAAACTTCCCCAACCACCCCCCCGGGGGGGGGGGGGGTACATTTCCTGTAGCTACAGGCCCACTACAGCCTGCTATTTGTGCTTGTACCAACTGCGCCTCAATAACCTTTCGAAACTAAATTCACACATTGTAGAACGAGAGACCAGGCTTGTTTCCAGCCTTCCCGCCCCGTCACACAGGCAGAGCAGCCCGTGTTCTCTGCACCTTCCCACCCTCTGATTTAACCCAAAGCATTTGTAATCAACTGTACTGTAGCAGTGCCTGGCGGCCCCAGGCGTACACCAGAGCCCACCGTGCCAGGCACTGTACACACAGAACAAACGAACAGGCCAAGAGAGTCCCCAGCACACGCGGAGAACCTCATGAAACGTGTTTGAGGGACCTTCACCAGGCAGGTTATCTAAGGCACACGTCCCCCACGGCCCTGTACTGACTGCGGTGCTCACAGTCAGTGCAGAACCCGTGTGGCGGGGCGCTAGTATACCCAGCATAAAGGCAGGTGTCGTCGTTCCAGACAGCGAGCCAGGCAATTCAGGATTCACTGGTGTGGTGTCCTGACAGGTCTCCGGCTCCATCAGTGATGATAAACGTTTAGCTGCCCGCATTTTCATACGCTCCCTCAGTATATCATGGCAGCTCTGCACAGGTAGCTAGCCCAATAGGCTTCACGAGAGCCCCAAAGACCACACTCAGGTAAGCAACAACGGCACCCAAGTCAGGTTTATTGTCCAATGAAGCACATTAGTGGTCGTCGGTAGCCAGATGGCCTCTAAGCCCCTACCTAGTTGTACCCAGGACAATGGACATGGCTCAATCAATAGTGAAATCCATACTATCGCCCCGTAGGCTGGCCAAAGAATGAAGTTGAGGTACCTCAATATTTATAGACAGAAATGACCAATCTATGATACCCACAGTACGAATCCTCTTACGCACTAATGACACGTTTGGTACCTCCCTTTGGCTGTTCCTCCAAAGCACGCACTGCCCGTTATGCTTTCACTCTTCGACTGTGTCTAGACACGCAAGCTTTTCCGCAAAATCACATGATTTTGTGGAAAAATTTGCCAGCTGTCTACACTGGCCACTTGAATTTCCACAAGAGCACTGACGATCTCATGTAAGATCTCATGTAAGATCGTCAGTGTTCTTGCGGAAATACTATGCTGCTCCCGTTCAGGCAAAAGTCTTTTTCAGAAAGACTTTTGTGCAAGAGGGCCAGTGTAGACAGCATAGTAGCGTTTTCTGCAAAAAAGCCCTGATCGCGAAAATGGCGATCGGGGCTTTTTTGCGGAAAACCACGTCTAGATTGGCCACAGATGCTTTTCCGCAAAAAGTGTTTTTGCGGAAAAGCATCCTGCCAATCTAGACGGGCTTTTCCGAAAATGCTTTTAATGGAAAACTTTTCCGTTAAAAGCATTTTCGGAAAACCATGCCAGTGTAGACGTAGCCTTGTTGTTTTAAACAACCCCTCTGCTGTCCTGACGGAATGTATGTACATTACTATTTTAGAATGCTTAAAGTCTTTTGTTTTAAAAAAAATCTGTACATTATACATTGTTACAGGGTTACTTGTGAACATTACATTTTAGTTTTAATCAATACCACTAGCATGAAAATATTTTACAAATGGGTGTTTAAATAAAAAGCATAGTGTAACAAAATATTTAGACAACTTATTTTTTAGGCTAATGTGTGTGTTTTAACGCCTCCCTAAAGTTAAAAGTTTCCAAGGCTTTAATTATGTTTTGGGGGCTTGGATAAATTAAAAGGTAGGGGTATTAAAATCTTTTTTAGACCCCCTTTTATATTTGTTTTTAGATTTTAGTACTTTGCGCATATATATATATATATTTTACACTTAGGGTTAATTTTTTATTTTTAGGTTTGATTTCTTTACTTTTTTTTGGAGGATTAGAATTTAAACTTTTTTTTGACTGTAGGTAGTTTGTTTGCTGAGCAAGTATATTTATTATTTGCAGCTGCTAGCTAAGTCATTTGCACTAACAGACCCTTTTTGGCTTGCTTTTAGATTTAAAGCCATTAGCAGCTCAGGGTACCATGTTGCCTGAGTCAGAAGGGGACTAGGAGTATGGCTGCAGCTCTGTCCCTCTGTATTTTTCGCACTACTCTGTTGAAGTGTGGTATTGATGGGAAGTGTATCGGAAACCGTAATCCCATTTGATTAGGAGTGCCGCTCACTGAGATTGTTTGCTGTGGAGCAGAAATCCCGGCACTTCCTGTTGC